GACGCGCGGCAAGCCGAGACGCGCAGCCGGGCGCGCGCGCGCACATGCGGTGGCTGAGCGCGCGCGGGTGCCCGGTTGCGCGAGCGGTGCCCCCCGCGCGACTGTAAAGGCGACCGCGCCTCTGTAAAAAAATTGGCGCGTCCTGTTCGTGCGACGTAATGTACGCCGACGCTGCGCCTTTTGTACACGTGTCTACTCGCTGTACACGTGTGCTGTGCGGCGCGGTACACGTGTACAGGCGCGGTCGACTGGCTGCTGGTTTACACGTGTGCGCGCGGAAGGTGGCCCCTGCTCGCGTCACCGCAGTGTCCTTGCCCCGCAGGCCGTCCGGTCTCCCGCTACACCCGCCAATGGACGAACACACTGCCAGACCGCGTCCGCCGCCGTGCCCACGACTCGCTAGCCAACCCGCTAGCCAATCCGCTAGCCAACCCGCTAGCCAACCCGCTAGTGTCTATTGGACCATTGTCCTCATCTGAGGACAGTATTCGACCTATTTTATTCTTGACTTCCGCTTCCCCGACAAGGAAGAAAAGGATATCCCCGCCACCGTACTTGACTTCTGACTTGGCACCAGAAAGAACTTTGTGAGAATTGCATGTTCTCGGTGGTCGTTTTAGATATGTCTGGAAAAGAAGCTTCCTTAAACCACCCTAAAACCGCATGTAAAATAACTTCGAAACTAAAAACGCCAGGTCAAAAAGGCAACTTGGTACTCAATCTGCATTATATTCGTAAGCTTTCTGCGCATTCAAAGCTGCTATCCCGGTGTTCTGCAAGATGCTATTGCCGAAAACAAGCACGTTAAGGAAATAGTGCTCAACGTAGCTTTTTGAATGTTCAATTTTTATAAGTTATATATTTTTGAAAAAAAAAAAAGAGCTGTCCTCATAGGAGGAAAAGTCCCGGTCGGATAGACACTAGCCAACCCGCTCGCCAACCCGCTCGCCAACCCGCTCGCCAACCCGCTCGTCAACCCGCTAGCCAGCCGTGCCGACCCGCGGAACTGCCCGCCCCCCGCTGCTGCGGCCGTGCACTCGGCGCGTCTCCGGAGTTCGTACTGAGCACGACCCGAAGCGTTACTGCAGCTCCGCGCTTTGATCCCAGGGCCATCTGCCAACCGCGTGTAGCTATCCGAATAACAATATTTCGCTAATTATTTCCTCTTTTCGCCGTTATTAGAACCGCCAATACCGCCACTTCCAAAAATTAGACGTTGCCCAACCCTTTTCGTGGCCCTGAAGTGCCTACACTTCCATCGTCAACCCGCCATCGCCACCACCCCACCACCACCCCGCCGCCGCGCCCCACCTACCCGTCGCTCACCGCCTCCCCAGGGCGGAGCATGCCCTCTTCCGCTTGCCTCGCCTAATCCCATTCCTTCCGCACTAACTCTCCACGCGGCCCTCCGCCCCGCAACCATCATGCTCGAGCAGTACGTCGAGCCCGCGACGACGGTCGACGCCGCGATGCGCGCCTACTCGGGCTCCGCGACGGGCTGGGAGAAGGCCTCGGACTACGTGTACGCCCAGCCGTGCCCGCAGGGCCGCCCGGATCAAGTCGTCGTCGACACCGCCCTGCGCCGCCGCTCGGTCCACCCGCTGCCGCCCACCTTCGCCGCCCAGATGCTCCACTACCAGTACCGCAGCTACATGGGCCTCTTCCCGCAGCTCCAGTGCGCCTGGCTCACCGTCGACTCCAACCTCTTCCTCTGGTCCTACGATCTCGCAGACCCTGCCGCGCCCAGCCGCCCCTCCGACCTCTACGTGTACGAGGGCATCCACCAGGTCATCGTCTCGGTTGCCGTCGTCTCGCCCAGGCCCGGCGTCTTTGTCGACTCCGTCAAGTGGCTCGTCGCCGTCGCTACCTCCGCTGACGTCACCCTGCTCGGCGTCGAGTTTTCTCCCGCCGGTGAGATCAACTTGGTCCCGACGCATATTTCTATCGCCACGGATAATATCCTCATGCTCAAGATCGTGTCCACCCCGGACGGCCGCATTTTCATGGCCGGCGCCGATGGCTCCTTGCACGAATTCGTCTACCAGTCAAACCCTCGCTCGGGCTTCTTCGATCTCTTGTCTGGTCGCCCTGTCAAGCGCGCCCGTAAGGTCGTCCACTCCAAATCCTCGCTGGTCGACTACTTTCCGTCCTACCTCAAGACCATTTTCGCCAAGCGCGACGAGCTGGTCGACATTGTCGCCGATGCCAGCCGCGCCGCCTTGTACACGCTTAGTCAATCCGGTTCGCTAACTGTATACAACATTCAAAATCCCACCTCCACCATCCATGTCTGCACCGTCAACGTGGCGCACGAGTCGCGCAACCTCGTTTCCTTCTCTGCCCCGGCGGGCGAGCGGGAGTACGTCTCCCTGCACGTCGTGCCCGCCTCGTGCCTGGTCTCGGTCCACGTCATCGTCGTCACGTCGTTCGGCGAGCGCATCTACTTTTCGGCCGCGGCTTCCGCCTCATCATCGGCCCAATCGGCCTCGAGAATGCGCAATGATTTTGCCGCCACGAGGCCAAGGACCCTCACCTGCGTCGGCTGCAGGCCGAGCCCGGATCGTACCATTAGCCGATCAACGCGCCCGTGCGTGCACAACGCCTGGTGCGAGCGAGGCGCCGCCGTCTTCGCCGACCTGCGCCCTGCCAACGTGGACAGGCTCATCGTCGTGCATCCTGACTCGCAGTTGGCTACGGCGCTTTCCGAGCCGCGCGGGTCCCGCCCTGGCACTGTGAGGAGCAAAGAGGTGGTCATGGAAGTGTTGCTGGATGAGGTTAGTGGGGCGCAGTCTGGAGGTGGCGGGGAAAGGATGTCGACGCCCTTCGGGTCTCGTCCAGAAATGGACGGCGGCGGAGGGGACGCGCAAGCTCCTGAAAACCGTACGTTTGCAATTGCTGACGCGAGCGCAGGGGATCCGGCGGATAGGAATTTGTCGATGGACCCAGTTCCTTTTGACCCACCGGGGTCGTTTTTGGTTTTGTCGGCGACTGCGTTGTATGTGTATGAACGAATCCCACCAGTGGTTCGGTTGACGGAAATTTTGGAAGCGGGAGGTGGGGCTGCCTCAGATATAGCGTCCTTTTTCGAGAGACACGGAACCGCTGAGGCGTTTGCAATGTGCCTAGAGATTGCTGTCACCTCGCCGACGCTTCAACGAGCGGCCGCTTCTGTTTTATATACATATGGCGAGGGTGGCTCTGGAGACAAGGGTGACGGGCGCAGTGGAGGATCGAGTGGAAGAAGATCAGAAGCAGATTCTCCTTACACCTACTCCGAAGGCAAACACAGGGGTGGGAATGTTGCTGACTCTTATTTTGACATTGGGCGGCCGTCACTGCAGGTTACCCCTCAATCACGACTGTCTGGCGCCCATGACGGTGTGAGTCTTTACATTGCAAAGATAGTATACCCAATCTGGAATGAATATCTCACATCGGAGCGAAACCCCGACGGCTTCCAAGCGCTTGTGGCACCTCGAGAGGTTCTTGTCAGAGTACGAGATCAGCTACTGCACATTGTTTCCTTTTTGGACAGTTATCCAGCCGATGCAATGTTTAGAGATAGTGGAAGCTTTGAGAGCAACAGGATAGAAAGGCGCGATCACTCCGGTGCTAGGAACAGGTTGTCACTATTGCGACCAAACGACATGCCAAGGCAGCACGATCAAGACCGAATGAACGTCGATTCTCGTGGAAGGTATACGACGCGGGAAAACATGGAGTCTCTGCGACGCAGATCATCCTCCATTGCAGCACTAAAAAAGTTGGCAGGACGGGTTGTAGAGGCACTGGCGTTCCTGCTGATACTGGAGGACCACCAGCTACACCGACTTGCGGTTTCCCTTTCAAAGGAAAATCGGGCCTTGCTAGCAAACATACGTTTCTGCGAGTTTGTCGCCGGCGATGAGGGCATGGCTCTTTCTGCAGCACTGGTAGAAGCCATTTTTGGTGGCTACAGCGACGGGATGGAGGCTCTAAGCAGGGTGGGCGGAGTCTTACGGGAACGGTGCCCTGGATATTTCCAGGCCTCAGATGTTGAGCTGCACCGTGGCCTTGCACTACTACGCGAGGCAGCTCAACTAGTTTCAGGGATTCAAGAAGAACGAAGAGCGAGCGAGGAGATTGCAAGTGGTGGCTGGTCAGGGGATACAGATAGGGCTGCTTCTGCTCTAATTGCAGCTCAAAATTATGCAGCAACGGCAGCCAAGGTTCTAAAGAGTGTTCCAGATCGCATTTTTGATGTTGACGCTGTGTGCCAGGAGTTTGAAGCAGCTCAGGCGGTGCCGTCTATGATCGATGTTGCACTCACCGTCGGCAAATTGGAAGAATCCCGTGGCAAACACGAGCGCGCTGATGTGGCATATCACGCTATTCTTCGAGCTATCGGTCCGTTTGTGAACATTGGAAACACCGCAGAGGGGATTAACGAAGAGAATTGCCTCGTAGATTATGAACGGCTTCGAGAATCCGCAATGCAAGTGGCACTCAATGCTGAATCCGAGACTTTCCTTCGAAAACTATATGAGTTCTTGCTCGGGTCGAAGGCTGGAGAAGAAGTCATTCTTAATTCATCAGGAATAAGCCTGGAAAAGTATTTGGAGGAAACGAAGAGATTGGACATATTGTGGCGATATTGCGCTCAGCACGGGAGGTACTTTGAAGCCGCAGGGGTACTGCTTAATCTATCCGAAGCCGGAGACGATACGAGCCTTATAGATCGTGTCAACTTTTTGTCTTGTGCGATGCATAATGCGAAGACGGCTGTAGTGAAAGGAGACAGTCGAGCCGGGGCTCTACTCGCCGAGATATCTGATTTCCTAGACGTGGCAAAAGTGCAATTGCGAGTGAGGGAGGAGCTGGTGCGTCGCCATGCTAAAAGCAGAGAAGTAGAAATCGCACTGGAGGAACTTGACAATTCAGTATTTGGGTTGTCAACTCTATTCAACAATTATGCGAGACCATTCAACTTATATGAGGCATCACTGGAAGCATTTCGATGCGGTGTAAATGTTGGCGAGTTGTATTTTGTTGGAAGGAATGGAGTACAGTAGATGTGTACGTTGTTTTTCCATGGGGAGCTGATTGGGCCAATCTGTACAAGCTGCAAACGTCTCGCCTGCGCCTTCTGCATCGTCATCTCCGACCTCTGCGCGATTGCTCCACCCCCGTCCCAGCGTCCCCCACCCCACCCCCCCCGCGCCCCCGCGTCTCCGCGCCCCCGCGTCCCCGCCTCACCCCGACCCGCGCTTCACCCCCTTCACATACCAGCTCGTCACCATCTCCTGCACCGTGCCGTCCTCCTTCCGCCGCGTCTCGAGCAGCTGCACAAACCTCTCCCTCAGCCGATCCCGCTCCTCCCCCTTGACCCTCATAACCGGCCGCAGCAGCGCGTTCCTCCCCAGCCGCTCCCACCTCTCCTCGATCTCGCCGACCTCCAAGTCGCTCCAAACCGTCACTTTCTCCACCTGCACCTCCTCGAACCCCGCCCTCTGCAGCAGCCTCACGTTGGCCTCCTCCGTATCCGTGAGCCCGTGCGGCAGACGCCACGTCCTGTCGGCCCGCTCCGTCCCGAGCACGTCGCGCAGCGCCTGCTGCAGCGCCACCCCCACCACGTACGAGTCGAGCGTCACCGCCTGGTACGCCACGTGCCCGCCGACGCGCAGCACGCGGTGCGCCTCGCGCAGCGCCGCGTCCGCGTCCGTCAGGTACACCAGCGCCGCGCAGATGTACGCCGACCCGAACGTCCCGTCCGCGAACGGAAGCGCCTCCGCCCGCCCCTGCACGAACGTCCCCTTCGGCGACGACGCCCGCGCCTGCGAGAGCATCTCCGCCGTCAGGTCCACCCCCGTCACGCCCTCGCCCGACCGCCCCAGCGCCGCCGCGAGTAGCCCCGTCCCGCACGCGATGTCCAGCACGGGGTATTGCACCGGGTAGAACGATAGAAGCGTCTGTATCAGGTCGACGTGCATCGCCCCGTTCGGACCCTGGTCGTAGGTCGACGCGCGCAGGCTAAAGTCATGCTGGATTTGCCCCTGGTAGTCGTCTTGCGTGTAGTCCTCATCGAAGATTACCCCGGCCATCGCGTGGAATGTTGACTCTTCACGTGCGCTAAGGTGCGTGCGTTGGGGAAGCGCATATGTAGTGCTCCACTGCCATCGCTGGAGGTGGACAGTCTGTCAGGGGAGGCTGGAGATACCACGTGGGAAACTGATCTCACTCCTTGTAACTCGCTTTTAAACGTTTTTCCTTGTTGCCGTCGAAGTACCCTTCCCTAAAAGCATTATTTGGTAAAAAAGGCTAATTTGGTGATTCAGTTCTCGTTGCTCCCAGTGCGGACAATGGGTACAGTCGTTCATCCCTGGACTCCAGGGAAACGCTCCGGGGCCTGAAGCGTTCACCCCGTCTACAGTTTCCCGCAATGTTACCTCCGCGCCTCTCCCCGTCCCGCCAAAAAAATGGCGGGCACACAGCACCGTTAAAGGCCAAACAGTAGTAATTGATCCACGATCAAACACCTTCTCGTCCTGCTCCCGAGACTGGCCTCCAGTTACGCACAATTCACGCCCCCTCCGATGTCGATTGGAATGCGTCGTCAGGCAGCGCGCGCCAATCAAAGGGACAGACGGGACGCAAGGGCCAAAGACAAACGGCAGACAGCGGTAAATTTATTGGAGATGGGAAAAAAGGTTGCGGATGTGGTTCGCCTCACAGCCATCAGTCGTGGGACAGCAGACCGATTACAAAAATGTCTCAAGACCAAGGACGACGACAAACTGTCCCGCCTTCTTGACCCAGCCAACAACCGTCCCGGAGCCCCCCGTGTCATCAAAGCGGACGAGGACAAAATCATTAAGCAGCGCATTAAATATACTGCCTCCCGGGGATTCGCAATTAACAATTATACATTGCGAGCTATAATGGCTCGCATTGCCAATGATGGTCGACGCGGTTTTCAGACGAAGGACAACAGGCCCTCCCCGGACGCTGTTCGTACCTGGAGAACCCGAAACAGGGATATCACGTTTTGAACAGCCGAAAACAAGGAACAAGCGAAGCTGCAGCACCTGCGGTTCCAAAGGCGCACGAAGGCCCCTCCCCAAAGTGCGTCAACTCCTCACCATTCTCCATCAAGGTTGCTGCGTCCGCGTTATTCGGTCTCTCTGGTGCCAGTGAAATTACCAAATAGACCTTTTTCTAAGAATCTGTGTACTGCCGCACCAATAAAAGGAAATTCGGGGTTTCTCTGACCCAGTACGGCTTGAGATTCTGTATCTCCTCCCAGTTGATCAGCAAACACATAGCATCGATAAGCACCAGTTTGAAGTCATTTGGGGCAGGGGAAGTAGTTTTTTAAATTAATTTATGAAAGATGTTACCACAATATACTTTCGGGGAAGGGTACTCTAATTCGATTTATCTCATCGGACGCCTATGGACCGGGATCTTATCTCTGCCAGTAGATAGACACAACTCTTCCCTCGTCGGAATTCGTCCTCCTCTCATCGACCGTCTACCCAACCTCGGTGCGCCCGCGTTCCTCCTCTCCCCGCGCCGGGTAACGAACACGACAACCTGACGTCGAAGCGAGAAGCCGTGCAACAGCCTTCTATCTCCACCTACAGATCATCGTCCCGGCGTGCACGGTTTCGTCCTCCGGCCTCACCATGGCCCTGCGCGGTTTCGCCTCTCTCCGGCGTTTGCACACTCTGCGCCCGAGCATGGCGTCTCTGTCATCCACGATCACCTCTTCGCGGGTCTCGTCCCCGGCGGCTTCGTTGCAGCCGTCTCTCCCGGACCTGCGGGTGCGCGACCTGATGGACGCGCGCGTGCATATGGGGCACCGCACGAAGCTGTGGAACCCGGCCATGGCGCCGTACCTGCTCGGACACCGCAACGGCATGCACGTAATCGACCTGGACAAGACCGTGCCGCTGCTGTCCGCCGCCCTGCAGGGGGTCTCGAAGATGGCCGAGCACGACTGCACATTTCTGTGGCTCGGCCCGCGCGATCCGCAGAAGGCGAGGATCGTCGAGAAGCAAGCGAAGAAGGCGGGCGCTTTTACTATTGATGGTGCGAGGTGGATTGGCGGGACGCTTACCAACCCGATCAAGAGCAATCAAGCGGAGCGCTTTAATTATCGCATCCCGGATTGCGTTTTTGTCATCGATACGAATAGACATATGCCGGCGCTCAAGGAGGCCAGATTGTGCGGCATTCCCACGATTGGCATTTCCGACTCTGACTGTGACCCGAGGATGCTGACGTATCCTATTCCGGGGAATGATGATGCGGCTTATGCGATATTTTTGTACTGCAGTCTTATGAAGCATGCCATTTTAGATGGCAGAGCGAGGGGTTTGAGGCTGAACAGGCCTTCCATGACTGTTCCGAAGAAAGCAGAGGGAGGCCGCGGGAGAAGAAGCCACCGCCAACGGCGGTAAGTGATGTCGACAGTCGAACATGTCTCAAATTCAATAATTCAACAACAGCCCCGAACAGCATTGTTGACTACAACTTCTCAACTCACCGGAACACCGACTCATGTCGTTGCATTGCTCCGGACAAGAATCGACAACAAGTCCTTCAAACAGAATGGAAGGTTGCGTTGAGCGAAGATGCTCACCAACGACATTATGTTTTCTTTTTTGGACCAAATGGCACCACACCGGAGCTTGGGTGGGCAATGCATCGCGTGAATGGTTGCTTCTAAAACAATCCCGTTCACTCAGCTTGTTCAGGAAAGCGCACTTTTCTTGACAACTAATACCTCTTCAATAAATCAGATGCTGATGACATTTAATAGTGACCGAAGGAATGTCACTCACTAGCGCGTGTGCGGCTGTTGGGAAAGCAAATGTGTTGCCATGCGTTGACGTTACTCTCAACATCGACAATCGCGAAAATGAGTAGCATGCCCTGCGTCTCTTTCCCTGTCGAATATCTTCTCCGTCCTGACCGGACAACCGCTTCATTTGCCCGACATCCCTTGGAAGAAACTTAACCCTATGTTAGGTGTCACGAAGAGCCCACCGCTTGTGATATTGAAAAAACTGCAACCGAACCATTGCTAAATTTGGAACCCACAAGCACAAGGAATATTCTTCTCACCATGGCGTCATTATAGTCTTCCCTTCACTGACATCAACGTTGAGCCCTACCCCTCTTTTTTCAGTGTGGAATTGTACATCGGGAAGTCAAGAAAAAGAGTCCTCTTGAGACTTAATGGGAGTCTCTCATACAATCTAGGAGGAAACGGGATCAGTACACTCGTCCTCGCCTTGTAGTCTCGGTACTCGGGGTCAGTCTCAAATTTGCTGTTGGCACTATTCTCCAGGATAGGAACCCCGCTCAAGAACATGATCAGGCACGTGACTACAACGGGCGAAAGGATCGCAATGTGGCCAGCACCCAGTAGAGCAGGGGCTGCTCCTACATAGAGTGCTGTCCAGATCATGATTTCGCCAAAGTAGTTTGGATGACGAGAGAGACGCCAAAGGCCACGTTCCGGCCATCCTTTCTCATTGCGCGCCCCTTCTTTCTGTGCGTCAGCAACGGCCTCGAGCGTCAGGCCAAGCAAGAATAAAGCGACGGCTAGCGGGTCAGACCACGCCAACGGTGTTGTACGTGCGGTGCTGAGCGCCAAGGCTGGGAGCGCCGTCATCCACACCCAGATTCCTTGGAAAGACCAGAGCTGCACCATGCGCACCGGTTCCAGTGCCATTTGATGGAAACGACGATCATGCCTCCACTTGGCTATCCTCCCGACCAAAAATGTACCCAGACGCAGCGCCCATACGGTGATACCAAGCGAAACAAGAAGGTGTCTTGCAGAAAGCGACCTACTGACGCGTAGCGAGAGCAATGCGAGCACTGCAATGTTGCTCGTGCCTGCCAAATCGACGAGCCGTTCCGTTTTGAAGTAGACAGAGCAAATGTAGAATACTGTTTGATAAACGAGTGTGACACCCGCCGCAATCTTGAGATGAAAACTGAGCGTAGCCTTGCATTCAGAAGCGCGTCGTGGAGAACTTGCTGATTGATAACGCCGTGGGAGCGTCGAACGTGCTGGTAATTGGACTTTAGAAAGGTGAAGGCCCGACTGCTTTGCTATGCCCCTACATGGTTGTCCTCTGAACGGTATCGCCACTGTCGCAGCAAATGCGAAGTACATAGCAACGGTTTGTCTCCAAGAATCTTCGCCTTTGAACTCTATGTCATTTCTTCCCTCTCTAGTCTACGCGTTCACGGCAGAACGGATATTGACGTATTGCTAATAGGTTTCGGGGAAATTGAAATGGTGACCTGAAGTAAAACGACGATTGCTTGGTAAACCGGCTGTTTTTTTTGTATCTTTAATGTGGACCAGAAATTATCAGAACAGTGTTCCCCAAACAAGTACTGTACAGTAGCCAGAATCACGACATGGCCAGGATCACGACATGGCCAGGATCAACCACGTGACATTCCCAGAAATTGCCATCTCAACAAAATATGTTAATTGGCAGCGCCAACTTTTCTCCACCCCCTCCCAGCACAGCTCCGTTTCTTGCTATTTGAGCCCTAGGGTAATAATGAGCCAAATTTCGCCGCCGGGCCTCGCGAAGCAACGTCTCGCAGCGGTGCTTCGACGGAGATGAAGTCAAAATGAGCGATAAGCACACTACATTTCCGCCCTACCCATGCAAGGGGGGCGGGTTTAGTTCGTTTTCAAGCATGTCTATTCCATCGAACATGCCCAGATACCAACCGGAGATGGCTGCACCTCTTCCATCTGATGGCAGTGCTTCGATAAGACAGTCAGAGGAGCTCCTAGCCCGTCCCATCAGAGGCGTTTTCAAGAATAGTTCCTCAGCGACGAAGACACGTCGCCTCAAAGTCAAGCGTGGTGATTCAAACGCCAAGGAGAAGAGAACAAACAAATCTACGCTCAACGAGATAATTGAGACAGAAATAGGAGAGGCCGAGCTTCAAGAAGAGCTTGAAGCGGAAGAGAAAGGTGCGATTACTCCAACGAGAAGCGTTACGACGCGATCGAGAACGCGAAATCTATCTGGCAATTCTCGGGTTCCTGTGGGAAGTAGACGTCGAAGTCAACGGCGAGGTGGTCAGGATTCCGGCGATGACAGTGAAGATGAAGCTGACCGGGACTCAGACGAAGACTTCATGTCGTGACTTGGACACTCGTCAGGTTCGAAGTCGCATCAGAGCGAGGTCACACTTTCCAAGTACCGCGCCTGTTCTCATTCAGACATTCACCGCAGACTTTGGATGCCCAAAAAGGGAATTCTGGATGACATCTGTGAAGGTCCCCACGGGGTTAGCTTTCGTGAATGGCTCAGTCAGAGAGGGAGGGAGAGAGAGAGAAAGAGAGCCCGTCGGAGTCTGCCAGGTGCGTACTCACTGCAACTAAGAGCAGATCATCAGACAGGAACTACGGCAGCCCAACATTGTCTGAGGCTCTGTACGCTCAACCGAGAGTACCAGGCATTCTTTAATTCAAGCGTGCGCGTACGCCACCACTCATGGGAAGAGTGTTATCTCCGCAAACGCGGTGGCCATTGCATCAAACGCGCTAGTTTGAAAATGTTAACTCGCCAAGCACTTCAGAAGCTGCAGTTCGTAGATCCAAGAACACAACCGAATTTATCAGAGATAATCTGTTTCAGCTTCGCATTAAAAGACACTTGCTGTCCGCACTTCTACCCGTGCCCTCGCCGGACAATGATGGTTTGCAAGAGGGCCTCATGTTTAGGTGATAACAGTCGGTTCTCTACGGCCCGTGAACGCTTCGAGTTTAGAAACCTTCAACGCCAACTCAATGAAAGGCTTCAAAGCCGCCTGGGCGTTAACCAGTTGGCCGTTCTCATCCGGTTCATATCTTTCAGCGTACAAACGGATGGTTGCACCAGACGAACCCGTGCCGGACAAACGGAAAATGACACGGCTGCCATCTGTGAAAACGAAACGACGTCCCTGCCCTGTCGCCTCGGAACCATCAATGGGATCGACATAAGAAAAGTTATCTGCCAGGGCTACCTTTGTGGAAAAGTCGGGATCGAGGGCCATGGGCTCGTCCGGAGAGCCACGTGCAGCATTCATGTTTGCTTGCAACTCATCGATGTGGGCCATCATTGCATTTGCGCCCTTTGTTTCCACCTCCTCATAGTCGTACCGCGAAAAGAAGTTGCGACCGTACTTCTTCCAATGGTTAATGACAATATCTTCAATGCTTACCAAGGCATCCTTGCCGGCACTTTCGTGGGCGACGATCGCAAGCCAGCATAGTACCGCGAAAATTCCGTCCTTCTCACGAACGTGATCGGACCCAGTACCAAAGGATTCCTCTCCGCAAATCTGTGCCCGCTCAGCATCCATCAAGTTTCCAAAGTACTTCCAGCCTGTCGGGACTTCATGCAGCTCAATGCCGAGCTCCGCCGCAACTCGGTCGAGAGCACCGGCCGTGGGCATACTACGAGCGACACCCTTGAGGCCGTTCTTGAAGTACGGAATGGCTTCTTTGGCCTTGGCGGCAATGAGAGCTACAGAGTCAGACGGGGTGACGAAGAAGCCCTTGCCAAGAACCATGTTGCGGTCGCCATCTCCATCGGAGGCGGCTCCCATATCCGGGGCTTGTGGGTTTTGCTTCGGGTCGCACTTGGCGACGAGCTCTGCCGCGTAGGTCAAGTTGGGGTCCGGATGGGCGCCACCAAAGTCCTCCAACGGCTCGCCACGCATGACGCACTCCGGCTTCCCGCCGAGCAAGTCGACGAAGATGCGGTGGCCATATGGACCGGTGACGCCGTTCATGGCGTCGAAGAGAAAGCTAAAGTCCGGGCGGGCGAACAAGGCCTTAAGCTTTGCAAAGTCGAACATGGACTGCAGAAGGGTGACGTAGTCGTCCGCGGAATCGATGACCTCAATGACAAACGAGGGGCCGTCGACATTGGAAAAGGTGGTCTCCCCCTTGACGGAGAGGTCGACGGCGGCAAAGGGGTCTGCGGCGTGGTCGGCGTCCGGGACGACGGCGTAGTTATACTCTGAGATGGTGGCGGTGTTCTTAAAGATGGCCGAGGTGACGGTCTCGGGGGCGGGGCCGCCGTTGGCGACGTTGTACTTGATGCCGAAGTCATTGGTGGGCCCGCCGGGGTTGTGGCTGGCCGTAAGGATGATGCCTCCGTACAGGTCGTGGGCGCGGATGACGGAGCTGATGGCAGGGGTGCACAGGATGCCGTTGTGGCCGACTTTGACGCGGGCGAGGCCGTTGGCGGCGGCCAGGCGGCAGATGATGCGGATGGCGTCCTTGTTCCAGTAGCGGCCGTCGCCGCCCAAGGCGATGGTGGATCCGGGCAGACCGTCCAGCGAGGAGAAGAGAGACTGGACCCAGTTGTGCAGATAGTTGGGCTGCTGGAAGACGGAGACCTTCTTGCGCAGGCCCGACGTGCCCGTCTTCTGGCCGTCGATCGGGGAGGTGGGGATGGACTTGATGGCGAAGGAACCCGTCATGGTGGGGCGGGGTTGGTTGTTAGGACGGGGAGTTACGGAGGGGTGGGGGGGGGGAGGGGGATTGCGGTTGTATGGGGGATGGGACAGTCGGAAGATATAGGGGGGGGGGGGGGGGTTGCGGTTGGATGGGTGGGCGGACAGTCGGAGGATATGGACGGAATGAAGAGAGGACGGGAGGACAAGGATGGATTGATAGGCAAGGAGAAGAAGCGGGATGACAATGCGGGCAACACAGGGGGGTGGAGGAGGAGACGTGCGGGCGCTACGTAAAGTTAGAGAGATGCGCAAGGAGGAGGGGATTCGTACTGCTGAATCGTCCACTTGGCGTGCGGCCAGTGGTGTTTAACGGCAGCACATATGATCGACGGGGCGCGGCAACATGATTGGTTGGCATGATTGGTTGGCATGATTGGTTGGTTGGGCGTCGCGCACAGATTGGTGGTTTCAGAGACGCCTGCTCGCCCTGGCGCGGCTAAATGTAAAATATATAAAAAAAGGGGAATATTTCGTAAAAACTTGCTACAGTACAGTGTTTGCGAATCTAAGGGCGTAGGAAAGCGCGAGATTCCGGTCCGACTCTCTAATCCAAATGGGACAACCAACCCGTGCCTCGATGCGCGCGGCGCATGATAAACGTGGTATTTCGTTAATTCTGAAAAATCAAACAAGGTTGAAGCATTTCTTTCATTATTTCTTCATTGTTTCAAGAATGCTCTCCAAAGAAGGGGTCCACGCAAAACGCCGTACTGTACCCTTGCATTTTCGGGTTAATAAATACTTGATTGGTTGAACAATACTGTTCGGTACACGCGTTTGTGACATCAGACCCTTATGTAAGGGCTGTAAACAGCACTTCTGACACCAACGCTGCCAGAGGTAACTTTACCGTCCGTGTCGGACGTGCTGTACTTGTAGGGGGTCTGATGTCACGAACGCGTGGACGGGAGCTGAAAATTGCCACCGCCCTGGCCGCGCAACGCACCAGAATGGAGTCCTCCTCGACGGCAGGAGGCGACGATTGGTCGACTGGATTTTTATGATATTTCATTGACACACCCCATTCCGCCCAATAGAAATGCGCAACAGCACCCACCGCCGCCGCCAAACCGCCCAATCGTTGCCTAACCTTGATATAGCAATGCAGCGTATATAATGCTCCATGCGCCGTGCCGCCGGCGACCGATTATAAAAACAATTTCTGCATCCAATTGCATAAATTGCATCCGGCCCGGCCGTGCCCAATTTTCGCACAGCTCGCCGGTAAGCGGACGCGTATCCACCGTATCGCCGGGACGTGGCCGCACACGCTCTGCGCCCCGCCACATATGCAGCCCCAAACCGCAGCCCCAAATCGCAGCCCCAAATCGCATCCCCCAAGTCCTCGAATATTCCCCCCATCACCTCCCCCCATCCGCCTCCTCGCTGCCGCCGACGCGCGGCACCGCGCCCGCTACCCCGCGCCTCTCATACCACCGCACCCGCTAAGATCCCGCCGCAACCCTTTTCAACCCCCACCTCCAGCCTCCCGCGCCGCCCTCCCCCTCCCACCCGCGCATCCTATGTATACGCCCCCCCCTCCGCCCCCCGCCCCCCCCCTTCGCCC